TGAGATGTGTGTGCACTGAGATCTCCACGTGTGGCTCTTACATGATGGGACAGAAGGTGATTAGTGCTGCTGCCTCAAGGTTGTCAGTGCCCTCGACTGGAGGACAAACACCAACCACACCATCCCTGGATGGACAGACAGGTACAAAGACACAGAGTATACAGGGGTTCTGCAGGAAGCATCTGCAGTTCACCTGGTTCAACAACCCCAGTTGCCCCATAGTTGAGACAGCCTGGTTGGTATCATGCAGGTGACTAAGCCTTAAGAAATGTTGAAACTGGGCCAGGCACGGTGGCTCACGCCTGTAATCCCAGCACTTTGGGAGGCCGAGGTGGGTGGATCATAAGGTCAGGAGTTCAAGACCAGCCTGGCCAACATGGTGAAACCCCAGCTCTACTTAAAAAATACAAAAATTAGCCCAGCATGGTGGCATACACCTGTAATCCCAGCTACTCAGGAGGCTGATAGAGGAGAATTGCCTGAACCCAGGAGGCAGAGGTTGCAGTGAGCTGAGATTGGGCGACTGCACTCCAGCCTGGCAATAGAGCGAGACTCTGTCTCAAAAAAAAAAAAAAAAAAAAAAGTACAAAAGTTAAAATTGAAGCTGGAAGTCATCATTCTCAGCAAACTAACACAGGAACAGAAAACCAAACACCACATGTTCTCACTCATAAGTGGGAGCTGAACAATGAGAACACATGGACACAGGGAGGGGAACATCACAGACCCGGGCCTCTCAGGGGGTGAGGGGAAAGGGGAGAGAGAGCATTAGGACAAATAGCTAATGCATGCAGGGCTTAAAACCTACATGACAGGTTGAAGTGTGCAGCAAACCACTATGATATGTGTATACCTATGCAACAGACCTGCACGTTCTGCACATGTATCTCAGAACTTAACGTAAAATAAATAAATAAGAGTATGACATGGGAGTTTTGAGAGAACTATTAATTTTTTGGTTATCTCAAATTTAAACCTATCAAATGTTTGTCAAGAATTTGAAGTATTCAAAAACTAAAAGTAAATACAGTAAACATAAAATCAACAGAAAGTATAAAGGAACATGGAGAAATGGACAAACCGGGAGAGTAAGTGCAAACAGGCTAGGCACGGTGGCTCACGCCTGTAATCCCAGCACTTTGGGAGGCCGAGGCAGGCAAATCACGAGGTCAGGAGTTCAAGACCAGCCTGGCCAACAGTGTGAAACCCCCGATCTAGTAAAAATACAAAAATTAGCCGGGCATGGTGATACACACCTGTAATCTCAGAGACTCAGGAGGCTAAGGCAGGAGAATCACTTGAACCCAGGAGGCGGAGGTTGCAGTGAACTAAGATAGCACCATTGCACTCCAGCCTGGGCAACAAGAGCGAAACTCCGTCCCCCCACCCCACAAAAAAAGTTCAAACAATTCTCATCCCAAATAATTATGAAATTTATAATTTCTCAGGGCACATAAAGTTTCTTGATAGAAAGGAAATGAAGAGTAAAACCCTCTTATGCATAGAAAGTTGGTTGATTCATTTTTCCACCAGATAAATGTTGAAGCCACACTAACTATGAAGTGTAGGAACATAGAATACTTGAATTATCTAATCAGGTCCCATCTATCATTGGTGGTAAATCACTTTTTAAAACGCTCACTTTTGGCCAGGCATGGTGGCTCATGCCTGTAATCCCAGCACTTTGTGAGGCTGAGGTGGGTTGATCACCTGAGGTCAGGAGTTCGAGACCAGCCTGGCCAACATGGTGAAATCTCGTCTGTACTAAAAATACAAACAGTAGCCAGGTGTGGTGATGGGTGCCTGTAATCTCAGTTACTTGGGAAGCTGAGGCAGGAGATTCACTTGAACCCGGGAAGTGGAGGTTGCAGTGAGCTGAGATCGTGTCCCTGCACTCCAGCCTGGGCCACCGAGAGAGACTCCGAAAAAATATATATATATTTATACCACTCACTTTCTGTTATTTTTGAGAGGATGGTTTACATCGTGGAAGCAAAATTAAATTCATTTCCGGCTCGCATAGTTTCCCTTTAGCATCAGTTGACTCTGTGGCATAACCGTCCCGTGTGCAGAGGCTCAGAGAGAAGACAGGTTTTGGTCTTTTACTTTTACCCTGCTTATCAAAATGAGATTGCTGCAGGACCAACCTAGCTGTAGAATATGCAATAGTCAGTGTAGGGCCATCATGCAAATAGCCAGGCTGGGAGCGTGCCTGCCATTCACCCTCACATCCACTAACCAGCATTTGTCTCTTAGCCCACATATCCCAGACAGTGGAGGAAGCATGATCCTCCCTTTGGCCCAGGGAGACAGAGAAACTATTTCTGGGTAACATTAGAGGATCTCTGATGTTTGCTCCATGCTCTACTCCCTGGAAGGGTTGAGTGTCCTCATCCCTCACCAGACCTGAGTTGCTGATACCTCCTATGGGCAGGATCCTTGGAGGATCGCTTGAGTCCCAGAGGTTAATCAGACTCAGTTCTGCCTCAAAAAGCTCACAGTCCCATCCTGGCCAACATGGTGAAACCCCATCTCTACTAAAAATGCAAAAATTAGCCAGGCGTGGTGGCATGCACCTGTAGTCCCAGGTACTCGGGGGGCTGAGGCAAGAGAATCTCTTGAACCTGGGAGGCGGAGGTTGCAGTGAGCCGAGGTCACGCCACTGCACTCCAGCCTGGAGACAGAGTGAGACTCCATCAAAAAAAACAAAAACAGAAACAAAAAACAAAACAAACAAACAAACAAAAACCTTTGTCTTCACCTCTTTGTCGGAGTTTTGAGAGAACTACTAATTTTTTGGTTATCTCAAATTTAAACCTGTCAAATGCTTGTCAAGAATTTGAAGTATTCAAAAACTAAAAGTAAATACAGTAAACATAAAATCAAAAGCAAGTATAAAGGAACATGGAAAATGGACAAACCGGGAGAGTAAGTGCAGGCAGGCCGGGTGCGGTGTTCGGCTCGTTCCCCGCATTTTGTAAGGTAAAGATATCTCACCATTGATGTTAAATCCAAACGCTTTACTGTTGCTTAGAACCCCTCACATGGTAGGTAGCACAACAGGCTGACTCTAGCCAATACGAACTTTACTGTACATTTTAAAATAAAAAAGCGTAATTGGGGCCAGGCACGGTGGCTCACACCTGTACTCGTAACACTTTGGGAGGCCGAGGCGGGCGGATCACCTGAACTCAGGAGTTTGAGACCAGGACAACATGGTGAAACTCCAACCAAACAACAACAACAACAGAAACCTCACAGTCCACACATGAAAGACCAGTGAGGACCAGGCAATAAAAACCCAGCCTATTGGTCACAGACACCGTGAGTCAATCGACCTCCTCACTTCACCTATGCGATAAAGACGTGTGTATGAAGGTGGATGTCTGCACTGAGATGCTCAAGAAATGGAGAGAATTACCAGGTGAAGAAACAGCACATGACAATTCCATGAGCTAATGACAGCTCGTTGCAGGCAGCAGTTTGCGAATTGCTCCGGGTAGGTGTCAATTCAAGTAGAAAGAAACAGAATAAAGGCTCCGAGGTCATCAGAAAGCAGCTTCCAGAGCGTGTTCTGTGCAGAGAAGAGATGTGGGCTTTCTCTCCGTGTGAAATCAGGGGACAAGAAAAGGTGCACATAGGAGGTTGGCGTGAGCATCCGTGTGAACAGACCACCAGCAGGCTCTGTGTGAGCAACAAGGTTGTTTAGTTCACCTGGATGCAGGCGGGCTGAGTCCGAAAAGAGAGTCAGCAAAGGGGGATGGGATTATCATTAGTTCTTATAGGTTTGAGATGGGCGTACGAAGTACCTTCTCAAGGACCGGGAGAATATTACAAAGTACCTTCCCAAGAGTGGGGCAGAATATATCCTATCAGTTAGGGTGGGGCAGGAACAAATCACAATGGTGGAATGTCGTCAGTTAAGGCTATTTTCACGTCTTTTGTGGCTCTTCCGTTGCTTCAGGCCATCTGGATGTACACGTGCAGGTCACAGGGGATATGATGGGTTAGCTTGGGCTCAGAGGCCCCACAGAGGTGACCTTCTCAGAGTTTGGGAGAAAATCTCTGTGGCAGAAATTTGCATGAGGATAAGAGGTGATAAGACCCTCCACGAGAGAATTCTGCTTGTTCCCGCCTTCCGTGAGATAAAGACATCTCACCACTGATGTTAAATATTATCGTTTTGTTACATTCGGTCTCTTCCAGGAGCCTGCACTGCGTGAGAAAACAGCCTCTGCATCTTCAAATTTGCACCTTTAATCTAGAACAGCTAAAACTTCCTCTGACAAGGAAAACATTTGTATTCATGCTGTTCTCTCCGACAGCCAGCAGCCACACGTGGCTCTGAGAACTCAAACAGCGGCCATGTGGCTGAGGAACTGAATTTTAAACTTCGTGGAATTTGATCTATTCTAAGTTAAAAAGCCATATTTGGCTAGTATACGTATGTAGCAAACCTGCACGTTCTGCACATGTATCCCAGAACTCAAAGTAAAATAAATAAATAAATGTACAACATGGGAGTTTTGAGAGAACTATTAATTTTTTGGTTATCTCAAATTTAAACACGTCAAATGCTTGTCAAGAATTTGAAGTATTCAAAAACTTCAAGTATTGTCAAATTTAAACACATCCAATGTTTGTTGAGAATTTGAAGTATTCAAAAACTTCACCATATTAGATGACTCAGATACTGAATACACTTCATCTCTGTAAAATGTTATTGAGTAATCGCAAAGATATGGAATCAACCCAAATGCCCATCAATGATAGATAGGATAAAGAAAAGGTGATACATATACACCATGGAATACTATGTAGTCATAAAAAGGAATGAGATCATATCATTTGCAGAGGCATGGATGAAGCTGGAAGACATTATCTGCAGCAAACTAATGCAGGAACAGAAAACCAGACACCGCATGTTTTTGCTTGTAAGTGGGAGCTGGACAATGAGAACACATGGACACAGGGAGGGGAACACACTCACTGGGGCCTGTCAGAGGAGGGCAGGGGGTACGGAGAGCATTAGGGAAAAGAGCTAATGCCTGCTGGGCTTAGTAGCTAGGTGAGGGATTGATAGATGCAGCAAACCACCATGGCACACGTTTACCTGTGAAACAAACCTGCACCTCCTGCACAGGGACCTCAGAACCTTTTTAAAAATTTAAAAAAAAAAAAAAAACCTTATTGAGGAATTTAGACATTAAACTGGTTGAGCGTATACATCGGCTTTCCAGAAGCAGGTCTGTAGAATTTCAGAAGAAGTCAGATGATATTAATGAGATATCCAGGATGAGTGTGTGGGTGTAGTCAAACCACCTTAAATGGCTGGAAGATCAAAATAGGATCATAGAATGGCTAGTTGTCTGCTCAGCTGTGCTGGAATTTTAAGATAATCCCACAAGCATTCAGACACTGCTGTTGCCAGCTTGGAGGTGTCAAGATGGTACCAGAGGGAGGAAGAATGTCCTTGGAGAACAATCTTCCTGGGAATAGATCCAGGTCCTTGTGTATTAATGACCTCTGTGGCAAAGACTGGGGGCAGCTCTGGCCTCAGCCTGGGCGTGGTGGACGGTGACGTAGATACTGGGATCCTCCGAGAGGTACTTGGGACACTGCGAGGCAGGAGCGAATCCCGTCTGTGAGAGGGCCTGGTGGTTTAACTGGGCATACATCACCTCCTGTGTCTCTTCTGCTGCAGGGCCCTGAGAGGATGAAGGTGAAAAGAGGAGCACATTTAGTAACGGAAGGCAGGGGCACTGGGAATGTGAGGGGATGAAGCTGTGACGATGGTTTGGACTGGAAGAACTCACCTCTTCATCCATCCGGTAGCCTTCCGTGGGCTCTGTGTTTGCCATGGTGGTGTCTGTGGGGTGAAAAAGGAAGTCTTCCAGATCTTCATATCAGAGGTGGCAATACCAAGGCCAAAACAAGATGAGGGCGTGCCTGAGGCTGCAGCGTGATGCAGCCTCCCCCACTAAATTCAGAGAACCACCCATCAGCAACCCCGGGCAATCTTGACTGCCCCAGGACCACCCCCATCGATGGCCCCCATCCTTCTGCCTCTCTCATGGACCATCTCCTGCAGGTCAGCGGCCTCCCTAGAGGTGAGGTGGAGGTAGGGGAGGGGTTGCGGTGATTGGTCAGTGAAGGGAAGCAGAAGGGTTTCTCCATCAAGAACCTCAATGGAAACACAGATCAACCCACAGGAGGTGAACAGCCCTCTCCGTGCCCCAGTCCTATCCCCACGAGGCTCACATGATACGGTCCTCCCCTCCCTAAGACTTACAATATTTTATGTAACACCTGAAACTGATAAAAGCAGAGAGGCACACGCCAATGGAGATGATGGCTACTGAGAGTCCAATGAGGATATTCAGGTTGTTGCTGGACTGTCCTTGAGGAAGATGTGCGTCTGTCAAGAAGCAAATGATAAACCCTCTGATTGACTGTTTTGTGCCAATATATACTGAACGCACAACGTGCTTTATCTGAAGCTCTTCCAAGATCCCTAAACCCGAACAGTTACTTTCTCCATTTTCCATCACTTACAAAAAATTCCAAGAGAAGTGAAGACACGTGTCCAAATCAAAGGGCCAGTAAGAGAGATGTGGAGGCCGGGCATGGTGGTTCACACCTGTAATCCCAGCACTGTGGGAGGGCCGAGAAGGGTGGATCACCTGAGGTCAGGAGTTCGAGACCAGCCTGACCAACATGGCAAAACCTCGTCTCTGCTAAAAATACAAAAATTAGCCGGGCATGGTGGTGCACGCCTGTGATCCCAGCTACTCAGAAGGCTGAGGCAGGAGAATCGCTTGAACCCAAGAGGCGGAGGTTGCAGTGAGCCAAGATTGCACCACTGCACTCCAGGCTGGGTGACAGAGCAAGACTCTATCTAAAAAAAAAAAAAAGGAGAGACTTGGAGGTCTGAACCCAGGCCTACCAGGCTCCAGTGTGCCTCCCCTCCCACTTCCTCATGAGACAAGACAATTTGCTTTTGCATGACAAAGGAAACCTTCTGCATGTACCATAGCTGAACCCCGTTTCCCCCATCCCTCCTCAGCCCAGGACAGATGCACTTTCTGAGAATGGAGAGAGAGGTGGCCAGAGGATGACTCTCATGCCGGTTTCTGAGAATTGAATTTGCTCCAAAGAATGTTGGTGCTTTTCTGAGCAATGAGTAAGAGCGGGTGGGTGGAGGATTTGGGAGAGAAAAGGGGGAGTGGCCACAGCGTATGTCACATAGGAGCACATCCTCTGTACCAGGACCCATGCTGAGGGGTGGGAGGACTTCCCACACGTCTCATCCTCACTCTCTAATCCATGATATAGTCCTTGAAAGAGAAAGGGCTGTAGCCAGCCACACTCTTGGGCTCAATTGATGGCTCTGTTACTTCTAGACATTCAACGTGGGAAGCTTTTCTTTCTTCTCTTTCTTCTCTTTCCTCCTTTTTTTTTTTTTTTTTTTTTTTTCATAAGGAGAGAGGCATCATTGGCTCAATATTCTATCCAAGAACTTGGATGCTTTGGCCAGGCGCTGTGGCTCATGCCTGTAATCCCAGCACTTTGGGAGGTGGAGGCAGGCTGATCACTAGAGTTCAGGAGTTCGAGACCAGCCTGACCAACATAGTGAAACCTGTCTCTACTAAAAATACAAAAATTAGCTGGGCATGGTGGCAGGCGCCTGTAGTCCCAGCTACTTGGGAGGCTAAGGCAGGAGAATCACCTGAACCTGGGAGACGGAAGTTGCAGTGAGCTGAGATCACACCATTGCACTCCAGCCTGGGCAACAAAACAAGACTCTGTCTCAAAAAAAAAAAAAAAAAGGCTGCGTACAATGGCTCACACCTGTAATCTTAGCACTTTGGGAGGCCAAGGCAGGCGGATCACAAGGTCAAGAGATCGAGACCATCCTGGTCAACATGGTGAAACCCCGTCTCTACTAAAATACAAAAAATTAGCCGGGCGTGGTGGTGCACGCCTGTTAATGCCAGCTACTCGGGAGGCTGAGGCAGGAGAATTGCTTGAACCCAAGAGACAGAGGTTGCAGTGAGCCGAGATCATGCCACCGCACTCCAGCCTGGGTGACAGAGCAAGATTCCGTCAAGGAAAAAAAAAAAAAAGCATAATTAAGTTGTTTGTAACTTAAAGAAGAAATGCTTGAGGGAATGGATGCCTTATCCTCTACGATGTGTGTATTACACATTTCATGCCTGTATCAAAACATCTCATGCACCTGATAAATATACACAGCTACTATGTACCCACAAACATTAAACATTTTAAAAAAGAGAAACCTTCACATAAGTTGGCACCTGTCCACCTCTTTCAGCTCCACCCCCCGTCCCCCAGCGTGTCAGCCTCACTGGTGCTGTGAACACACACAAGCTGTTGCCATGTTGAATTTTTTTTTTTTTTTTTTTTTTTTTTGAGATGGAGTCTCGTTCTGTCACTCAGGCTGGAGTGCAGTGGCCGGATCTCAGCTCACTGCAAGCTCCGCCTCCCGGGTTCAAGCGATTCTCCTACCTCAGCCTCCGGAGTAGCTGGGATTACAGGTGTGTGCCACTACACCCAGCTAATTTTTGTATTTTCAGTAGAGATGGGGTTTCACCATGTTGACCAGGATGGTCTCCATCTCCTGACCTTGTGATCTGCCCGCCTCAGCCTCCCAAAGTGCTGGGATTACAGGTGTGAGCCACCGCGCCCGGCCCTGCCATGTTGAGTTTATGGCACCACTACCTGCTGGGAATGTCCTTCCATCAATCCTTCCAACACTGGCTGTCCTTGTCATCAGGATCACACCTTAAATGTCACTTCCTTGAGTGACATAGAGTCTTCCCTTCCACCCACGCTAAAGGATCCACTTAAGCTTTCTGTCACATGACTCTATCTTAATGAATGCAAAATTAATGACTCTGAATAAATCAGTTCACACGTCTATTCATTATAATTTTTCTCCTCCCTCCCACATATCACTGGAATATGATAACCTGAACACAGGATCTGTTGAATATTCAGATCGTAGGACATTAGAAGATGGACAATAAGGCTGGTCACGGTGGCTCATGCCTGTAATCCCAGCACTTTGGGAGGCCGAGGCAGACGGATCACTTGAGGTCAGGAGTTCGAGACCAGCCTGGGCAACATGGCAAAACCCTGACTCTACCAAAAATACAAAAAGTAGCCGGGTGTGGTGGCGGGCACCTGTAATCCCAGCTACTTAGGAGGCTGAGGCAGGAGAATTGCTTGAACCTGGGAGGCAGAGATTGCAGTGAACTGAGATTGAGCCACCACATTCCAGCCTGGGCGACAAAGCAAGACTCCGTCTCAAAAAACAACAACAAAAAGATAGACAATAGATATTTAACATGGTCTTTTAAATCCTTTCCGTCTTCCAGCATTTTCATGTTCACAGACCTCTCTGGCGGAATGAGAAGCATCGCTTTTCAGCAGGCGTCAGGCCGCTCTGACCTCTTCCTCCCCTGTGGACGAGGCCTCAGCCCCAAAGCATCTGAGGCTGAAAGGCCTTACAGATCCCCGCACTGACCACAGTCTCAGATGTGGATGGGGAATCTGGGGACCTGGGAGGGGCTGCCTAGGCCAGGGTCCTGGAGCAGGGAGGCGGCACAGTTTTTATTCACACAGGGGCCTTCTGTCTCTGCAGGGACTCAGACACTAGAAGAGTCATTTGCTTACCAGATTCAGGGGTGGATTCCATGAATGACAGAGGAGTACTCTTAGTGTTTTCTAGGAAAAAAAAAAAAGGCAGAGAAGGGGTGAGCAAGAGTCATTGATTGCCCCATTAAAGTAGGATCATTTACTTTTTCTTTTCTTTTTCAGACAGACTCTCGCTGTGTCGCCCAGGCTGGAATGCAGTGGTGCCATCTTGTCTCACTGCACCCTCCGCCTCCCGGGTTCAAGCCATTCTCCTGCCTCAGCCTCTCGAGCAGTAGAACCATTTTCTTTGGAGGGTTGTTCCCTGCACACCCCCTACTCTGTCATCCACCTAAAGACTAATGGGGGTCCTGGGATCTCTTCCTTGGAATCTCTGGGGGTAATTCCTTCCCTGAGATGGGAAGGTGATAAGGAGATGCTTGGTGGTGTCAACAGACATTGTCTCCCATCAGGATGATAAATATCCACGTTCCCCAGCAGGGAAATCTCCCTGAGGTGAGGGGTCAGGAGGGGCTTTGGAGAAATGGAAAAGGGTGAGAGGCTGAGGCAACCTCTTATCTCCATGAACCACATCTGGCCTCACCTCCCCCTGTGTTTGTCCTGACTTCTTTCTTCACACAGGAGGTGGTGGAGGGTGTGAAGCTGCCCCGTCTACCACCCTACACCCTGACAGCCCCGTCATGCTCAGCTTCTTTTTTCCTGTGTTTTTTTTTTTCCCTGTATTTTTCTGGGTTTTTTTCCTGTATTTTTTATCCTTTTTTTTTTCCTGTATTTTTTCCTTCTTTTTTCCTGTATTTTTCACTGTCTCATTTTATCCAGAATACCTAATACCCCCGTGTCCCCAGCGGGACGCCCCTCAGGTGTGGCTCTGTGATCTAGTGGGCACCAGAGCATGCAGCCGGCATGGACTCCTCACCTGTGACGCAAAGGTGCAGTGGGTCACTGGGAGCCGACCACTCATAGGGAGAGTCATTGAAAGAACCATAGCATCTATAGGTCCCGCCGGGAACTGGCGTTGTGGGGTCCACAGAAAAGTGGGCCTGAAATGCTCCACTGTGCCTCTGCCCTCCACTGAGCCACTGTCCATGAGCAACCCCGTCTCTGAACAAGTGGTACCAGTCAAATGAGATTTCAGAGCTGCAGAAGAAGTTCAGCTTCTCTCCCAACCTCATCATGGGGTCCACCTGGGTGGAGAGAGAAGGCTTTTTGTATTTTCCTAGGAGAAAAAGAGGTGGGTTTTAGAACACGCTCCTGAGTGCATGAACAAAGTAATCTCTCTCCCTCTTTTTTTTTTTTTCTGAGACAGAGTTTCACTCTTGTATCCCAGGCTAGAGTGCAGTGGCATGATCTCAGCTCTCTGCAACCTCAGCATCCTGGGTTCAAGTGATTCTCCTGCCTCAGCCTCCTGAGCGGCTGGGATTACAGGCATGCACCACCACACCTGGCTAATTTTTGTATTTTTAGTAGAGACGGGGTTTCACCATGTTGGTCAGGCTGGTCTCGAACTCCTGACCTTGTGATCCACCCACCTCGGCCTCCCAAAGTGCTGGGATTATAGGCGTGAGCCACCGCACCCGGCCTCGTTGTTCTTATCTTGGCAGCAGATTCCGAATGTCAGCTGTTGCCTCTGTCAATCTCATGTTCCTCTGTAGGGTCCTGAGTCGCTTATGTCTGTGTCTTTTTACTTCCCCTGCATTTCACTGATTCTCCATTGATTCTCCACTCTCCCTATGTGTGGTCAGCCCCCAGTGACCCACTGCACCTTTTGCATCACAGGTGAGGAGTCCACGCTGGCTGCATGCTCTGGTGCCCACTAGATCACAGAACCACACCTGAGGGGGGTCCCGCTGGGGACACGGGGGTATTAGATATTCTGGATAAAATGAAACAGTGAAAAATACACACAGGAAAAAGGAAGCTGAGCATGATGGGGCTGTCAGGGTGTAGGGTGGTAGACGGGGCAGCTCCACACCCTCCACCACCTCCTGTATGAAGAAAGAGGTCAGGACAAACCCAGGGGGAGGTGAGGCCAGAGGTAGTCCCTGTGACTGTGTCCCTGTGGCTTACCGCCCCTAGAAGCCATATGAGATGTAGGCTTCTCCTGGAAAATGGAAATTACTCTGTGCTTTGAGAACCTTCAGAAAACACAGTGCTGGCCTTGGGTTCCCTGACACGGGGCTATGGGGTTATGAGTCTCACTCTTTTTCAATTGTGTGTTGAAAAATATAAGAATCTCAGGAGGATCAGAAGGAATCTCACAGGCTCCTGCAGGGAGCGACTGGCTGTACTCCCAAGCCCAAGGAGTTAGACGTGATTACTTGTTGGGGAGCGTGGAAGTGACCCCTCCTCCCTCTTTAGGTGGTAAAACATATTAAACCCCTTTGCTGAGCCCTTCCTCACAGTCCCTCTGTTCTTTTATTTCTCTTCCTCTACTGAGGTTTGATTAAACAACCGCATTACATGAAGCTCCCAGGGCCCCAACGGACCACGGACGGTCCAGTCACACTCACCTGTGATCACAATGTCCAGGGGGTCACTGGGAGCCGACCACTCATAGGGGGAGTGATTGAAAGAACCATAGCATCTGTAGGTTCCTGCACGGGCAGGCGTTATAGGACCCATGGAAAAGACAGCCTGGACGTAGTGGCTCCCAGCCTCCATCCCCTCGTCAAGCTGCTGAGAGTGCTGCGTGTGTTCCTCTTTGTATAAGACAAATTCATCAAAGGCCAGTGGTGAGCGACAGCGCAGGCTCACCCTGGCTCCTGCATGCACCAGGGAGCTTGGGTGCGCTGAGATGGAGGGTTTTGTGAACAAGCCTGAGAGCAAAGACAGAGGAGTTCACATGAGTCTCCTTCCTCACCCCTCGCCTGAGACCTCAGGGTGAAGCTCTCCCTCATCACTCCCAAAGCCCATCGGCATCCTTCCTGTTGGTGTGCGTGCATTGTGCGTGCATGTTCTCTCTGCGCAGATCCCCATTGTCCGGCTTGAAGCCATAGGAGATGTGTGGTTCTCCTGGAAAATGGGAATTACTCTGTGGTTTGAGAACCTTCAGAAAACACAGTGCTGGACTTAGGTTTCCTGGCATGGGACCGTGAGGTTGTGAGGCTATTTTTCAATTCTGCATATTGAAAAACACAAGAATCTCTGGAGGATCAGAAGAAACCTCACAGGCTCACACTGAAGGAAACAACTGGTTTTGCCCCAAAATCCAAGAGGTTATACATGACTACTTATTGGGGAGGGTGGCAGTGACTACTTTTCCCTATTTGGGCAGAAGGACACGGTAAACTCCTTTGCTGGGCAGCCCTTCACTGTTCCAGTCTCCATTCAGATCATCCAGGAGCCTGGATCTCCCTACCTCACACCGACTTGCTTTCCCCGCTTTCTTGGTGGAAAGACCCAATCTCTGCTCTGTTGCTTCTGAGCTCCTTGAATGTGAGACCGCCAAATTAAAATACACGCGTTGTCAATGTTGTAAAGTGGTTATACAGTAAAACCGAAACGTTTGTTCTGTTATTTTCAAAGTTGCAAATTAATGACTTGCAAATGGAGAACTATTTTCACGTTCTTCAATTTTTCTCCCATGCTTCAAGAAGCTAACAACAACAAAAACTGATTTTGCATTATTAACACAGAACCGACCATGCCAATCCTCATTCTTGATGTCTTCTCTGAAATCCTTCCTTGACTCATGGTTCAAGACACAGATCTCTATCTTTCTCTTCTGGAAAACTCTACTCTTTCTCTCTCTCTCTCTTTGTGTATATTTACATACATATGTAAAATCTGAATAACTCCACACCCTCTCTTCCCTGCTTTACAGGATGAGCAGGGGCAACTCCACAGGATGAGTCTCTAACTCCCCGTAAGACACTGCACATCCACGAGAGAGAAGGGATGAGTGTCAGGAGACTGGGAAGGAGGACGAGAGGAATGGGTGCATTTCCCAATCCACGTCCCACTGAGTCACTGGACTCATCTCCCAAGGGAAGTGTCACTTCCCCAAGGCTCTGGCTCCTTCAAGGCAGGGTAATAACTTCCCTGAGGGAAACACTGGTGCTGGGGTCAGGCAACATGCCTCCTCCCTGGATCCACCCTGCTGGAGTTGATACCAGCATCCTGCGTCTGCTACTCCCCAGGCAGATTCTCCCGCTGCTCGGCTTCCTCTCTCCTCCTCCTCCACCTGGGTACCTGATTCCTCACAGGAAATGCCCTCTCTTTAAATTCTCAGGACGGCTTCTGTGTCCACAGTTAGTGCATGACCAGCAATCCCACAATGACTCTCTGGCTTCACTGGGTGTGGACTCTGGGAAGGGCCATCTGGACACCAGGTGGACATGGGGTGGGTGGACTTCTCCTACCTGTGACGATGATCTTCAGGGATTTGCTCCCAGCCGACTGTTTTGAGGTGTGCTTGTAAATTCCAGCACATTTGTAGGTCCCCGCGTGTCCTGAGGTCACAGGGTTGATGGTGACGTGGTTGGAAAGGCCAGTGTACAACTCACGGACTCGGCTCCCAGTTGTTTGGAATATTGTGAACATGACAAACTGAAGACGGGAATGACAGGAGAGAGTCACACGTCCTCCTAGGGGAACCAGAGGGCTCGGCCAGGCTGACAGGGAGAATTCGTCCTGAGCACCTGGAAGAGGAGGAGGCACAACCTAGAGAGGGAAATGTGGAGCCCCCTGTCTCCCACTGTCCTTGCGGGCTTTTCCTTCTTCACATTGTTCTGGTTTGCCGCATAACATGGGGTCCCCTGATGCCCTGGGATACCTGGTAGTGAGCCAGGGACACAGCCCACCCCAGAGTGGACATGGAGGGTTTCCCCAGAACAGCATTCTACTAAGCGTGATAATACAGTATTGAGCCAAGTTGCTCCTAGTTCTTGTCTACAACAAGAAATCTGTGCATGGAGGAGAAGGAGGAAATCTACCAGATTCAAGCAATACAGAAAACATATCAACTCATTTAACAATTCCCAACACAAGTGCCCGGCATGGGTCCCCCGCCTCCCGACAGAGAGTACTCCTGCCCACCCCTAGACACGCTGGATTCTGAGCATCACAGGCTCCTTCAGAAGACTGGATGAGCCCGAGGGGCTGCCTATGGAGGGTTTCTAAAACAAAATGGAAATTGAGGTCTCCAGAGGACCCCCTTCCTGTGATCCCAGTGCTCAATGCAAAGCCCCCCCCCATGTCATCTGCATCATCCTGACTTCGTGTCCTCCCTCCCTGCCTGGAGAATCATTTGTGTTTGGCCAACACAGCATCCTAGGACTGAGATAGGACTCACCCGCATGTGTGCAGATCTTCTGGTTCAGACAGAATCCTGGGCAAAAAAAAAAAAAAAAAAAAAAAGAAAAAGAAAAAAAGAGAGAGAGAGGTAACTTGTCTTCATGTGAATCCTACCCTCCTTGTAACTGGGTTTGTCAGCTCAGCCTGGATTCAGAGGGTGAATGAACCTGCTTCCCACCTGCAGCCCCAGGTTGTGGAGAGGCCAGGTCTTCAAGAGAGCATTTTCCATCCCAATTCTGTCCGCCTTTCCCTTCCAGGACTTACCCAGACACAGGAGGGTGATGAGTTTGGGGGCCATGGTACCACTTCTAATGGGCAGGACACAGGGGTTGAGCTAAATTGGAAAATGAACAGGATGTGGTAACCATGGTTCCAGTTTCAGTATGCAGAGTTTAGAGGGTGACCACCACACAGGAAGATGACCAGCTCTCACCCTAAACATAGCGGGTAACACAGGAAACTTGCAGATGGTATTTTTGGTTCAAGAGCCCGTAACAAAGGCCTGCCATGAACCTCAGCACCGACCAATCGATAACGTCTGAATTTCAAGTTTAATTTTTCTATGTGCAAAATTGTAAAATGATATCTTAATATCTTATTGCCTTTTTCGAGAACTATGCATGATTCGGTTTCTGTGATGCAACGTTCTCCTGCCAAATTAAAATAGACACATGGTCAATGTTGTAAAACAGTTGTACAGTAAAACTGAAATGTTTATCCTGTGATTTTCAAAGTTGCAAATTAATTACTTGCAAATTGAGAACGATTTTCAAGTTCTTCAATTTTTCTCCTATGCTTCAAGAAGTTAACAAGAAAAATTGATTTTGCATTAGTAACACAGAAGCGAGCATGAAAATCCTCGTTCTTGATGTTTTCTCTGAAATCCTTCCTTGACCCACAGTTCAAGACACAGATCTCTATCTTTCTGTTCCAGAACACTCTACTCTCTCTCTCTCTGTGTATATTTACATACATATATAAACTATGAATAACACAAACATATGTGCATATAATGCTGAAGGTTCTCCCCAAAAGCCAATTCATATTATTAAAAAATTAGTAAGATTAGCAAGAAAAAAAGCCCTGTGAAATCCACACTGAAAAAAAAAAAACAGCATATTCACAAAAATAGTATCAACTCATGCTTTTTCTCTCATCTGGCCCAGAACTTCCCAACGTATGAAAACAACACACACACAATTTTGGATCTTTTCTGTGTCATTTTTGTAAATATGTGTCTTCCATATCACAGCTATCATCTGGTAATATTTGTGTGTGTGTATGTATGTACATTTTTACATTTTAAATATAGCACAAAAGGATAGTTTGTTTTGTGTTTTTGATTGTAAAATGATACCACTATGCTCCTAATGCTCTGCATAGCTCTTGTTTATTCACCAACAGACAGACTGCAGTAAATCGCTTGCATATTCCTCAATGTGTTTGTCCCTTTGGGCTGATATGATGTATGTGTTCACCAGGCATTTTGTTTTTTGGAGCAATGTTGGCCGGAGCATTCTTGCCTGTGTGTCCTGGGTTTTACGAGTGAGTTTCCCTGAGTACACACCCCAGGGTGGGACTACACACATGGGGACTGTCAAGGTAAAAGTAAACTGACAAGAACACATTTTTTCCAGAGCGATGACCTCAAAACTGCCAGCAACAGTTGTCAGATTCTGGTGTTTTTTCCACTTCTCAGAAAAGACCTGATTACGGATGACAGAGGATGAACTTGATGTTAACATTTACTTAAGTATATTCTACAATAGAAAAATATGTTGAATAAATGCTGTGATACAAATATCTGTACCTGTAAGCAAATGTATCACCTATGAGACATAAGTTTTACAAATCAGTGACGCCATTTATTAAACATTGTGCTATGTTTCATAAAGTGTGTTATAATTGATTGACTTGGAAGTGAGATTTGCAAAGTTCAAGACCTCAGTAGCAGACAGTTACCCTCCGAGCAAACACACGGGACAAATACCCACTTGAAAATATGAAGCGTGCATTGGTTAAAAATGAGAAGAACTTGTTAATTTAACGTTGCTAAATGTACTTCACGGTGTTTATGGGTTTCTTGCCAGGAAGACAGCTCAGCAGTGTTTACACACTGGAATGAGGCCAACGACTTTGTGAAGTAAACTGTTTTAATCCAGTGTAATTTTTACAAAGTACAAATTAAAGTTCTAAGAAGTAAGCGTACACTGGACTGTGAGAACAAGACACAGCACAATTAACAGCAGAGGGGCCACGGCCTTTGAAGAGAGAAAATGTGAACACTGATAACTTTAAAAGTTTGGCTCTTGAAGGTGAGGGTTAAATGTACATAAATTTCCAAACATTCCGTGAAATTGGAAATTTTTAATTTTATGTTAAAGAATGTGATTCTGTGCTTTGTAAAGCAGTGTTGAGAACTATAAATGATTACAGAAGTCAATTTGGGATTTTGACGTGGGGCATATTTTGATTCCTGGATTCAATGCCTAAATTCACAGCTCTGCACTAAAACAAACTCAACTAAATGTTGAATTTATGTGATGCATTACATGCTAATTCGTGTATCTTTAAACAATTTCCCTTCATGAATTATTTCCTGAAGGACCCACATCATCTGTAGATTTTGGGTACATCAAGCAAATTTTCCAGAAGTGTTACCCAAACAATAAATAAAAATAGTTGATTAATTAGATAAAGAAACAAGGCTCTTGCAGGCAAGAGCCAGTGGTGTGCTTCATGTCCCATTCATTATGATTTAAAAGATTCTATTCACTTGAGGTATATTTAAAGAAATTTTGTAGCCTAATCTGCTGACAGGCTTATGGATTCCTCTGGAGAAACACATAAAAGAGTAAATTCAGAAGGTCAGAAATAAGCTACACCTAAATTTTTCAAATATGGATCCTGGACAAACAAACTAGACTCTATCTACTCCTTACTTGCATTTTCCTTTTCAAAAATTCCAATTTTAAAAATATTGGGTGTTCTTGATCTGTCTTCATATGACTGTACCCTGGCTGATTATTTTTTAAATATGTATATATTTCCATCCTTTTTAAATAATTTCTGCAGGCATGCCTCTCTCTGTTTCCAGCCACGGTTACTTTATCTTTTCTATATTTTAATGTGCTTCCACTTACTTAATACCTTTCTTGTAAATTCACGAATTTCTTTTCATTTTTACCTACGTTTAACATCATTAAAATGAGGGAAATAACTCTTCTAACCTATATAACATTTTTAAGTTTTTGGTGTTTTAATGCATTTTATTTTATTTTATTTTATTTTATTTTGTTTTGTTTTATTTTTAAAATGAAATTTCACTCTCGTTGCCCAGGCTGGAGTGCAGTGGCACGATCTCAGCTCACTGCAACCACTGCCTCTGAGGTTCAAGCGATTCTCCTGCCTCAGCCTCCCTAATAGCTGGGATTACAGATGCCCATCACCACGCCCGGCGTTGTTTTTGTATTTTTAGTAGAGATAGGGTTTCGCCATGTTGGGCAGGCTGGTCTCGAACTCCTGACCTCAGGTGATCCACTCCCCTTGGCCTCTCAATTGCATTTTATTTTTAAAATAAACTGGAGGTGCCTCAAATTTCTCTTTGACTATCTCATATTTGTATCACTTTCACTTTCTGAATAATTCCCCTTCTTACACACAAAAATTTTATTAGGGTATACTTATGCTTTACTTTTTCTTTACGTAGCCATGACAGTTTAAATTCTGATCAATCCTCATTGTTAAGAGGAATGAGCTCCTTCCTCAATACTAACATGAATGAGGCAGCACCTTGAATTCTGGTCATCTCTTATCTTCAATTGGTGGAGGGAAGTCAACACATCCCAATAAACCTCCAGTTTCTTCTGCCCACTGGACAATTTCTTCTGCAGTTTTGTCATCTTGGAAGAAGGCAAAATCTGCACACAAAATAGCCTCTTCCATCAGAGTCTCTGTGAGCTATCGTCACCACGCTGTACCTTAGATCTCTGGAACATTTTCATCCTGCATAACCAAACTTTGTAGCCTTTGACCAACGTGTCCTCATTTCCCACGCTCAAAACCCGGCTGACTAGAGTGTAAAAAGACTGTATTGCATACATGAAATTTGCTAAGAGGGTATGTCTTACATGTTGTCACCACGTTAAAAAAAAATGAAGACAAAAATGATAACCCTGTGAGGGGAAAGATGCTTTTTTGTTAGTTTGATTGTGGTAATTATTTCACATACATCAAAACGTCATCTTCCAACCACCAAATATGTACAATTTGTACATGTCAAGAAAGCTTAAAAGTATTTGTTACAATCATTGTCATTCTCCCCTTTTCTTAAAATAATAAAGACATTTGATGTCTCATTTCACAAAAAGTTTTGAGGCAGGCAGTGCCAGTGCTGTCCCAGCAACCCAGTGACACTGGGGTTCTGGGTTGTGGGGTTCGGGGATGGTATCCCTGGGATTCCCTAGGCCATCATCATATCTTTTTATAGTCAATGATATTTTGTTTTATTTTAAGTTCCAGGGTACATGGCCAGGATATGCAGGTTTGTGACACAGCTAAACATGCCATGGCGGTTTGCTGCACCTACAAAGCCATCGCCACATGGCCTGTGACCCCTTTGCCTTGGACAATTTCTCCCATTTGGAATGGGAACATTTGCCCAGTGTCTGTACTTCCATTGTATCTTGGAAGCAGCTAACATGTTTATAATTTCAGAGGCTCATACGGGGAAGAGACTTGCCTTGGCTCAGAGGAGACTTTGGACTTGGACTTGTGAGTTCGTGCTGAAATGAGCTAAGACTTCAGGGAACTGTTGGGAAGCCATGATTGGTTTTGAAATGTGAGAAGGACATGAGATTTGGGAGGGGCCAGGGACAAAATGATACGATTTGGCTATGTCCTCTCCCAAATCTCATCTCAAATTTTTCCCATGTATTTGAGGAGGGCCCGGTGGGAGATGATTGGATCATGGGGGCAGACTTCTCCCTTGTTGTTCTCATGATCGTGAGTTCTCACAAGAGCTGGTGGTTTGAAAGTGTGACATGTCTCCCCTGGTTCTCTCTTTGTCCTGCAACAATGAGAAGAAGGCTCCCACTTCCCCTTCAACTTCTGCCATGACAGTAAGTTTCCTGAGGCCTCCCAGGCATCATTCCTGTTAAGTCTGTGAAACTGTGAGTCAATTAAACCTCTCTTCTTCATAAATTACCCAGTCTCAGTCTCAGGTAGTTCTTTATGGCAGTGTAAAAATGAACTAATACACCATGTTTTTTGTTTTGTTTTGTTTTTGTTGTTTTTTTTTTTTTTCATAGAATTGGTTCGCTAGCGCACTCTGGATACCCTCAAGTAGAAGTTGACGTGGAAATTTATGGTATTTCTGTACCATTTGACCCAGCCATCCCATTACTGGGGATATACCCAAAGGATTATAAATCATGCTGCTATAAAGACACATGCACATGTATGTTTATTGCGGCACTATTCACTATAGGAAAGACTTGGAATCAACCCAAATGTTCATCAGTGACAGACTGCATTAAGAAAACGTGGCACATATACACCACGGAATACTATGCAGCCATAAAAAAGGATGAGTTCGTGTCCTTTGTAGGGACATGGATGCAGCTGGAAACCATCATTCTCAGCAAACTATCACAAGAACAGAAAACCAAACACCGCATGTTCTCACTCATAGGTGGGAATTGAACAATGAGAACACTTGGACACAGGGTGGGGAACATCACACAGTGGGTCCTGTCATGGGGTGGGGGGTGGGGGGAGGGATAGCATTAGGAGATATACCTAATGTAAATGACGAGTTAATGGGTGCAGCACACCAACATGGCACATGTATACATATGTAACAAACCTGCACATTATGCACATGTACCCTAGAACTTAAAGTATAATAATAATAATTTTTAAAAAAGAAATTTATGGTATTTCTGAAGAAACTGTGCCAACTGTCAGCTGATGGAGAGAGAAGAGTTGGAGGATTCCCAAGAGGGTTTTAGCAAATTATTATGGACTACTTAGTTCCAAACTTATTTTCACTCACTTACTCCATCATGTGAACCATATTCTGCGTCTTGAGCTGACGAGACAGAGCTCAGTAGCACAGATGAGGGAATATCTTAACAAAAAGTTTGTAAAAATGAGGCCCGGTGCGGTGGCTCATGCCTGGAATCCCAGCACTTTGGGAGGCCCAGGCCGGCAGATCACGAGATCAGGAGATTGAGACCATCCTGGCTAACAGGGTGAAACCCCGTCTCTACTAAAAATACAAAAAAATTAGCTGGGCGTGGTGGCACAAACCTGTAATCCTAGCTACTTTGGAGGCTGAGGCAGGAGAATCGCTTGAACCCGGGAGGCAGAGGTTGCAGTGAGCCGAGATCATGCCACTGCAGTCCTGCCTGGGCTACAGAGCGAGACTCTATCTAAAAATAATAATAATAACAATAATAATAATAATAAAAGTGCATTACAAGAAGACCAGGGAATGGAGTTTATATCTGTGTGGGTCCACACCTGCCGTGAGTGATGTACCTTCATTTTATAAGGTAAGCAAATCGGAGAGGGAAGTCAAGGAAAGTCAGTAACAGTGGGAAGGGAAGACATCAGAATTGAATTGAGGAAGAGTTTTGAACTAGAGATCGGAAACCTGAGGCCATTTCTTTCACTCCATATTCTCAGCAGACAGTTCACCCAGCATACGATGACAATTTCTGACAATTTCCTTCCAAAGCCTCTGGGATTAGGAGATTGGATTCCAAGCCTCTATTGTTCTAAATGGTGAATGGTTTTCTCTTGTGTTCCTCTTCTTCTCGCGTTTGGGTTTTTTTTTCTGACTCTGCAAGACTCCAGTAGCAGGACTCCAATGACCACCAGGACCAAGACGGCCACGCCCAGCCTGATAAGATTCCCTACTGTGTAATCCTGGGGGTGTGAGCCTAGGAATAGTGGATAAAGATGTCACCAAAGGTGTGAAGGCCAAACTCATCCTAAAGTCCCTGGATGTCCACTCCGGTCACCCACATCCCCCTGAGTGGTCATAGCCTCCCAGCCTCATCCACAACTGAGAACATCTCTGTATTGAGCAGCCTTGCATTCTGACGGGTTCTGTAACGATCTCAGGACATGAGCTGCCCCTGAGAACCACAGAAAGAGGGGGAATGTGAGGAAACATAGGGGTGATCATGCTATTCTCTGATACTCAATATGTCTCTAAAATCAGCTAATTACTTGAGAGAAGCATGCCCAATATTGCACCATTCGTAAAATTTAGATGTAGAGGAGAGAATTTGGAGCTGCACGTTTTCTGAATAGCGGGAAAATACAAGAGAACAGACTGGAGTTGCCAGTTACCCTTCCTTTGCTTTGCCCCAGACATTACTTCCTCATCTCTGGCTCATAATTACGTATTTCCATCCCATTTCGTTATTCTATTAACCTGATCGACCTGTTTTAATCAAATAAATGGAATAGTATCTACAACACATTAAGCATTTTTGTCTCTAGGATCCAAGAATACTACAATTAGTATAAGCAATTACTCAGTTTGCATTCAAGATAGGGAGGCTGACAAGAAGCAACTGAAAAGGATAAATGATAAAAGCAAATACTTAGATGGATATATGGAGAAAATGCAAATATACGTATTATGTAATATATATACATATATATGTTTTATATATATATACACATATATATATTACACTCTATCAATTTTACAAAAGTCATACCAGAACACCAGCCCTTTGGGGAATAAAATAGAGAATATTGTATACGAGTTCATTTAAAAGATGTTTTGGAAAATGACAGGACCAGGCTCAGAACATGGTGTTCCTGAAAATTGGAACAAAACTTCCTTGGTCTCCTCCACACAATGGCCACCGTTACTTGCAGAGACTGGGTATATCCCTAGTGGACTGACGTTCCCAGACGGGTGCATTTCTGCACCTCCTTTCCCAGAGAGACACTGGCACGGAAGTTCAGCACTGATGGATCCCTTTGGTTTTCTGGATACAAGGCTGCCTTTGATACATAAGAGAACGAATCCCCAAATGTGGATAGAATTGTGTCCATGTGCTCAAGCTAAAGAGTGTCTGGATCAGCTCAACTAAAGTTCATGATTCTCAGGGAATGCCTCAACCATCTTGAGCCCCAGACGCTCTCTCCTCCTCCTACAGTGGGGTTGATTCCGTTCGTTCCTAGGTTGCCTCTTTGCAAACCTGTAGGATCAGCACCCTGGACAGGGGCGAGAGGTGGGCTTTACTCTTCTCTCCTTCCTCAGCTCGGCCGGCTCCCTTCAAGAATTTCCTTTCTCACCGACCACCCAACCAGCACCAATGACCGCAGTGCTGGGGACTTGAACCCCCCTCCCTTCATTCCAGGTTCCCCTCCAGCTGCTCAGGAAACAGCCACTTCCATAAAGATTTCAGGTGGAGGCCGGGCGCGATGACTCACGCCTGTAATCCCAGCACTTTGGGAGGCCGAGGCGGGCAGATCAAGAGGTCAGGAGATCGAGACCATCCTGGCTAACACGGTGAAACCCCATCTCTACTAAAAATACAAAAAATTAGCCAGGCTTGGTGGGGGGCGCCTGTAGTCCCAGCTACTCGGGAGGCTGAGGCAGGAGAATGGCGTGAACCTGGGAGGTGGAGGTTGCAGTGAGCCCAGATTGCACCACTGCACTCCAGCCTGGGCGACAGAGCCAGACTCCATCTCAAAAAAATAAATAAATAAATAAATAAAGGATTTCAGGTGGAGAAGGAGACTTCTGTCTCCCCAGGAATTCACAAACTAGGTGAAGAATTCTTTGCTCACCAGTTTCAGGGGTTGATTCCATGAGTGTCGGGCAAGTACTCTCAGGGATTCCTACAAAAAACGACAGAGAATGGCTGTACAAGAGTCGTTCCTCGCCACACTGAAGCAGAACCATTCTATGTGGAGTGTCTGTCTCTTGCCCACGGCCTACTCTGTCGTTCACCTAATGACTAACGCGGGTCCTGCGGTCTCTTGTCAGAATCCTTTGAGAACAGACTTTCTCCCCTAGATGTGAAAGGGGACAGAGGGCTCAGAGATGCCTGTTGATGTCAAGAGACCTTATCTGCAACGGGGTGGTAAATATCTACATTCACCAAAGGGGAAATCTCTCTGGGGCTGAGAGGTCAGGAGGAGTTCCTGGAAAATGAATAAGGGCAAAGGGCTGGTGCAACCTCTGATGTCCCCAAACCTTATCTGGCCTCACCTCCTCCTGTGTTTGTCCTGATGCAGTTCTACATTCACCTGAACACATAGGACCCCAAAGTGAGCCTCTACATAGGATGTGGAGAAGAGGGTGGAGGTGCCCTGTCTCCAGTCCTGTACCCTGATTGCACTGGTCATTCTCAGCCTCTCTTTTCCTCATTGTATTTCTCACTGCTTCATTTTGTCCAGAACCCCTCAAATCTCCTGATCTCCAGCAGGACGCCCCTCAGATAGAGCTCCTGGGTGCAGCTGGCACCAGAACATGCAGCAGGCATGGGGTCCTCACCTGTGACAGGAACGTGCAGTGGGTCACTGGGGGCTGACCACTCATAGGGAGACTCATTGAAAGTGCCGTAGCATCTGTAGCTCCCAACAGAGGTTGGGGACACAAAGCACAGAGGAAAGTCGACCTGGAATATTCCATTGTGGCTCTGCCCTCCACTGAGCCAGTGACCACGGGCCTCCTGCTTCCTGGATAGATGATACTTGTCAAATGGGATCTTTGAGCTGCAGAACAAAGTCACTGTATCTCCTGGCCCCGCCATGGCGTTCTCTCGGGTGATGAGAGAGGGCTTTTTGTATTTTCCTGTAAGAAAAAGAGACTTTGGTTACTTATTGTGCACCATATTCTCAGTAGACGGTTCACCCCATATACGACGGCAATTTCCTTCCAAAGCCTTCTGGGATCAGGAGATTTGATGCTAAGCCTCTGTTGTTCTAAATGGTGCATGGTTTTCTCTCATGTTCCTCTTCCTCCTACATTTTGGGGTTTTTTTTTTTTCTGACCATGCCAGAATCCAGTAGCAGGAATCCAAGGGCCACCAGGACCAAGACGGCCACGCCCATCCTGATGAGATTCCCTGCTGTGTAATCCTGGGGGTGTAAGCCTAGGAATAGTGGACAAAGATGTCACCAAAGCAGTGAAGGCCAAACTCATCCTAACGTCCCTGGACGTCCACTTGGGCCACCCACATCCCCCTGAGTCCTCATAAGGCGTTTACAACAAAAGCCTTCCCCACACTGCTCTTTTTTTTTTTTTTTTTTTTTTTTTTTGAGATGGAGTCTAGCTCTGTCGCCCAGGCTGGAGTGCAGTGGCCAGATCTCAGCTCACTGCAAGCTCCACCTCCTGGGTTTACGCCATTCTCCTGCCTCAGCCTCCGGAGTAGCTGGGACTACAGGTGCCCAACACCTCACCCGGCTAGTTTTTTGTATTTTTTAGTAGAGACAGGGTTTCACCGTGTTAGCCAGGATGGTCTCGATCTCCTGACCTCGTGATCCACCCGTCTCGGCCTCCCAAAGTGCTGGGACTGCAGGCTGGAGCCACTGCGCCCGACCCACACTACTCTTAGTGTTGGGGAAAAAAACTATTTTCTTATATTAAGAGCAAACTCCATACGTCCGCTAGTGCTGTCTCAATCTGTATTCTCTCTATGATCCTGATTCGATGAGTGTGCATGCCTTTTTAAACCCTCCTCTTTCCATTGCTTCTCCCTTGCTTTTGACTCTATCTTTAAGGCTTACTGTGCCCAGACAGCATATGAGATGTGGGGTCCTCCTGGAATGTGAAAATAACTCTCTGCTTGGAAACCCTCAGGAAACATGGTGCTGACGCAGATTCCCCGATCTGGACCTATGAAGTTAGAGTCCCAACGCTGTGTGTTGAAAAGTGAAAGAATCTCCATAGAATCTGAAATACCCTCACAGACGAACACTGCAGAACCAGTAGCTGTGGTCCCACACCCCAAGGTGCTAGACATGACTACTTGTAGGAGAGGTTAGAAGTGGCCTCTGCTTCCTCTTTGTGCAGAAGGACATGTTAAACCCCTTTGTGGAGAAACACCTCAAAGTCCCAATCTCCACTCAGATCCTCCGGGAGCTTCACTGGTGGGTGGTGAAGGTGGGAGTTTGTGGTGGGTGGTGAAGGTGGGAGTTTGTGGTGTGTCCCTGCGTCTCATGGCAGAGGAACGGGGCTGCAGGTTCCACATAGGGAACCAACTCCAAAAGGCAACTCAGTGCCTGAGCTGAGGGAAAGCAGCCCCTTGTCGAGGTTTGTGAATCTCTCTCAGTATCTGTTTCACATTCTCTGTTACTGTCTCTGCCAGTGGCAAAGTGTCTCTGCCACATTGAGGTGTGGTTGTAACTTGTTTTCTTTTTAACTATCACAAGTTCTCTGTTTCTTCCTCTTTCCTTCATCCCCTCCCCTGGCCCTCTAATATGTTACTTGGTGTTTCTGTGTTCCGGCAGTTTTCTTCCTTTACTGGCGGTTTGATCAACAACCACATCACCCCGGGGAGTTTCCAGGACACCAAAAGACCACGGACGGTCCAGCCACACTCACCTGTGATCACAATATCCAGGGGGTCACTGGGAGCCGACCATATGTAGCGGGAGTGATTGAAAGAACCACAGCATCTGTAGGCTCCTGCATGGGCAGGCGTTATAGGACCCATGGAAAAGACAGCCTTGGAGAAGTGGTGCCCAGCCTGGATCATCTTACTGTACTGCTGGGAATGCTGTGTGTTCCCCTCTTTGTATAAGATAAATTCATCAAATGCCAGTTCTGAGTGACAGCGCAGCCTCACCCTGGCTCCTGCATGCACCAGGGAGCTTGGGTGCACTGAGATGGAGGGTTTTGTGAACAAACCTGAGAGCAAAGACAGAGGAGTTCACATGAGTCTCCTTTCTCACCCCTCGCCTGAGACCTCAGGGTGAAGCTCTCCCTCATCACCCCCAAAGCCCGTCGGCACCCTTCCTGTTGGTGTGCGTGCATTGTGCGTGCATGTTCTCTCTGCGCAGATCCCCATTGTCCGGCTTGAAGCCATAGGAGATGTGTGGTTCTCCTGGAAAATGGGAATTACTCTGTGGTTTGAGAACCTTCAGAAAACACAGTGCTGGACTTAGGTTTCCTGGCATGGGACTGTGAGGTTATGAGTCTCACTATTTTTCAATTCTGTGTATTGAAAAATACAAGAATCTCTGGAGGATCAGAAGAAACCTCACAGGCTCACACTGAAGGAAACAACTGGTTTTGCCCCAAAACCCAAGAGGTTAGACGTGACTACTTGTTGCGGAGGGTGGAAGTAACTCCTTTTCCCTGTTTAGGCAGAAGAACATGGTAAACTCCTTTGCTGAGCAGCTCCTCACAGTCCCAGTCTCCACTCAGATCCTTCAGGAACTTTCGTAGCCTGGATCTCCCTACCTCACACCGACTTGCTTCCCCGCTCTCTAGGTGGAAAGACTCAACTTCTTCTCTGTTCCTTCTGAGCTCCTTGAATGTGAGACTCACTCCACACTTTCCCTTCCTGACTGTACAGGATGATTCTCTAACTCCCCATAACATCCGTGAGAGAGAAGGGATGAGTATCAGGAGACTGGGAAGGAGGATGAGAGGAATAGGTGCATTTCCCAATCCACGTCCCACTGAGCCACTGGACTCATCTCCCAAGGGAAATGTCACTTCCCCAAGGCTCTGGCTCCTTCAAGGCAGGGTAATGACTTCCCTGAGGGAAACACTGGTGCTGGGGTCAGGCAACATGGCTCCTCCCTGGACCCACCCTGCTGGAGTTGGTACCAGCATCCTGCGTCTGCTACTCCCCAGGCAGATTCTCCCACTGCTCCACCTCGGCTTCCTCCATCCTCCTCCTCCACCTGGGTACCTGATTCCTCACAGGAAATGCCCTCTCTTTAAATTCTCAGGACGGCTTCTGTGTCCACAGTTAGTGCATGACTAGCAATCCTGCAATGACTCTGGCTTCACTGGGTGTGGACTCTGGGAAGGATCATCTGTTGGACATGGGGCGGGCTGGACTTCTCCTACCTGTGACCACAATCTTCAGGGATTTGCTGTGAGCTGACCGTATTGTGGTGTGGTTGTAAGATCCAGAACATCTGTAGGTCCCTGCGTGTCCTGGGGTCACAGGGCCGATGGTGATGTTGTTGGAAAGGCCGGTGTGCAACGCATGGTCCCGGGTCCCAGATCTTTTGAATATTGTGAATATGACAAACTGAAGATGGGAATGACAGGAGAGAGTCACACGTCCTCCTAGGGGAACCACGGGGCTCGGCCAGGCTGACAGGGAGAACTTGTCGTAACCACCTGGAAGAGAAGGAGGCACAGCCTAGGGGGAAATGTGGAGCCCCCCGTCTCCCACTGTCCTTGGGGGCGTTGCTTTCCTCACATTGTTCTGGTTTCCTCACATTGTTCTGCCCTGTAACGGGTGGAGTCGCCTGATGCCCTGGGATACCTGGTAGTGAGCCAGGGACGCAGCCCACCCCAGCGTGGACATGGAAGAACATAGAATTCCAGAACAGGAATTCTAGTTGGCATGATGATAAAATATTGAGGCAAGTTGTTCCCAATTTTTTTCTACAACAGTAATTTATGCAACAGGAGAGAAGGAGGAAATCTACCAGATTCTGGCAATACAAAAAAAAAAATCGGCCGGGCGCGGTGGCTCAAGCCTGTAATCCCAGCACTTTGGGAGGCCGAGACGGGTGGATCACGAGGTCAGGAGATCGAGACCATCCTGGCTAACACGGTGAAACCCCGTCTCTACTAAAAGATACAAAAAAAAAAAACTAGCCGGGCGAGGTGGCGGGCGCCTGTAGTCCCAGCTACTCTGGAGGCTGAGGCAGGAGAATGGTGTGAACCCGGGAGGCGGAGCTTGCAGTGAGCTGAGATCTGGCGACTGCACTCCAGCCTGGGCGACAGAGCGAGACTCCGTCTCAAAAAAAAAAAAAAAAAAAAAAAAATCACGCATGAACTCATTTAAACAATTCTCTACACAGGTACCTGCCACTGCGTCCACGAGTGCTCTGGCTGCTGACCAGTTCCTTCTCAGGCTCCAGCAGCAGGAGAGCCTTTTAGCTCATGGGTGGATGGAGAATCTGAGTTCCTTCCTATGCTCAGACAGTTCCGTGGAGCCCAGCACTGGGTCCTCACCTCCCGACAGACGGTGCTCCAACCCATCCCCAGGCACCCCAGATTCTGAACATCGCAGGCTCCTTCGGGAGACTGGCTGAGCCCAAGGGAGTGTCTACAAAGGGTCTCTAGAACAAAATGGAGCCTGGGGTTTCCAGAGTTCCCCCTTCCTGTGTTCCCAGGGCTCTCTGCAAAGCCCTCCCCACATCATCTGCCTCTGCCCGATTCCACGTCTGTCCTCCCTGCCTGGGAGAACCCTTCGTGTTTGGGCAACACAGTATCCTCGGACTGGGGTAGGACTCACCCACGTGTGTGCAGATCCTGGCAGGCAGGCAGATTCCTGGAAGGAAAACCACATCAGAGATGACCTGTCCCCCTGTGAATTCTGCACTCACTGTAACCGGGCCTCGTGTTGGACATTGGCCATGTCAGCTCAGCCTGGACTCGGTGGATGAACCTGACTCCCCACAGGCTCTCACCCGCAGCCTGGGTAGTGGAGAGGAGAGGTCTTCCAGAGAGCATGATTTCTTCCTACCCCTGCCCTCCTTTCTCTTCCAGGACTTACCTAGACACAGGAAGGTGATGAGTTTGGGGGCCATGGCGCCACGTCTGTTGGGCAGGACACGGGGGTCGAGCTAAATTGGAAGACAAACAGGATATGGTTACCATGGCCCCAGTTTCATGGTTTGCAGAGTTTGAAGGTTTTCCACCACACAGGAAGATGACCCGCTCTTGCCCTAAATAGAGTGGGTGCCGTGAAAAATGTTCAAACAATATTTTTGGTTCAACACAGCCCCCAGCAAAGGCCAGACCTGAACCCCATCATTGACCAGTCCTGAATATCCAAATTTCTATGTTCCTACCTATTCTAATGTCTTACTGCCTTTTTTTTGAGAACTATGTGTGATTCCATTTATATTATGCAATATTCCCATGTCAAATTAACAAGCGTGCATGGATAATGTTGTAAAACGGCTGTAGAACAAAAAAGGAAACGCTTATGCTGTTATTTTTCAAAACTGAAAATTAATTGCAAATTGGGAACTGTTTTCAATTTCTCAAATTTTCCTGTCAAGCTTCAAGAAGTTTTTACCACAACAAAAACATTGATTCTGCATTATTAACAAAATTCAGCATGTTCTGGGTTTGGAGTTTTATCTAAAATCCTTCTTTTTTTTTTTTTTTTTTTTTTAGACGGAGTCTCACCCTGTCGCCCAGGCTGGAGTGCAGTGGCGTGATCTCAGCAACCTCTGCCTCCCGGGTTCAAGCAATTCTCCTGCCCCAGCCTCCTGTGTAGCTGGGATTACAGGCGTGCACCACCACACTCAGGTAATTTTTTGTATCTTCAGTAGAGACGGGGTTTCACCATGTTGGCCACCATGTTGGTTCAAACTCCTGACCTCGTGATTCACCCTCCTCAGCCTCCCAAAGTGCTGGGGTTACAGGTATGAGCCACTGCACCCAACCTTGAAATCCTTCTTTGACTCACAGGCTCAGATGTCTGTCTTTGTCTTCTGACAAGTCCAAGAGTATATTCATATACACATACATATATAAAATACAAATAATATCTATGTATATGTAATGCTCAACATTCTTTCCACAAGCCAATGTATATTATTAAAAAATTAACAAGATTTTATTAAGAAAAGACCCTGTGAAATCACCACAGAGGGCCAGGTGCAGTGGCTCACGCCTGTAATCCCAGCACTTTGGGAGGCCGAGGCGGGCGGATCACAAGGTCAGGAGTTGGAGGCCAGCCTGGCCAAGAGACCAGCCTGGCCAACAGGGTGAAACCCCATCTCTATTAAAAATACAAAAATTACTCAGGCGTGGTGCCGGGCACCTGTAATCCCAGCTACTTGGGAGGCTGAGGCAGGAAAATTGCTTGAACCCGGGAAGCAGAGGTTGCAGTGAGCCGAGATCGTGCCATTGCACTCCAGCCTGGGCAACAGAGCGAGACTCTGACCCCCGGAAAAAAAAAATCACCACGGAAAATGACACCAGGAAATTCACAAGGTATGACTTGTCTCTCACCTGTCCCTGAACTTCCCACCTTAGTAACAAAAATTCTGTAACTCAGGTTCATCTATTCTTTGCTTTATTTGTCGATATAGCCATATATAACATATATCGACAAATATATATATTATAAATACATATATATAAAGTTTTAAATGTAGAGCTAAGGGAACATTTGCTTTTGTCTTTTTGTTTTCGAAATTATATTGCTATGCCCACAGTATTTTACATAACTCTTGTTTATTTACTGACAGATGTAATTGGAGTATACTGACCGCTTTTTCCTCAGTGTATTAGTCTTTTTTGCCTTATATGATGTATGTTTTTATTAGACATTTTGCTTCCAAGAGCAATGCTGTCCTGAACGTCATTGCATGTGTTAAAAAAATATTTAATTATTAGATAAATAGTTAACTTTTGCAGGCAAGAACCAGTGGCATCTTTGACATCCCATTACTTATAATTACTTGTAACACTGGGTTGTGTTAGTGTCCTGGATTGAGTTAGGCAAGAGTACACACCCCAGAGTGGAATTTCGGGGCATGGGTCTTGTCAAGGTGGAAATAAGCTAGATAAGAACACATTCTTTCCAGAGTGATGGCCCCATTTACCCTCAGCAAGTATTGTCAGACTCTGTTATTTTTCCTACTACCCAGGGGAAAGAGCATAAATTTGATGTTAATATTTAAGTAATGATTAGAAATGACCAGAAGACAAATCAGATAGCATAGGCCCCAAACTGTCTTGCAGAACCCCTTGGGATGGTCACATTTGTCTCTAAGGCTCTACCACTCTGAATGGTGCTTTGTTCTCTCTGAGGCTTGCCTCCTGGCTGCATTTCGGGGCCTTGGCTAGCTGAGTTAAACCCAAAATATCAAAACCCTAAGGACGGGACTGGGCCAGTGGCTCACACCTGCTGGAGCACTTCTGGATCTTAAATACAATGATATCTGGAGCCACAGCACCCTGAGTGACAGAAGACAGTGATTCATGTGAAACAAAACCAAACGAGCTGAGTCCTAAATCTGTCTCAGATTATCACCCGGAGAGAATTCCTAGGTTGTAACACAGAAATGGGGACAGCGATCAAATTCCTGAGTTGGTGATATGAAACAGAAAATCCAGGGAGAGCAAGGCAGCTGGAGTTCAGAGGACAGAGTCTTAGAGAGAAAAGAGCTGCACAGGAAGAATGTGGAGACCTTCAGAGGGTCCCATTGAGTGTCATGTGCTCAGATCAAGACGCGTTTGACAGAAAATTATCTTAGACTGGGGAAAGAATCACTCAATAGGATTAGATAGAAGAGTGTCTGGGTCTTACACAAGGCTGGGAATAGGGTCTGTTCCCACTAGGCATATTAAAACCTCACTGGAGGGTTTCCATGGAACATGGGCATGGTATACAGGGTATACAAAAGGGTGCTGCCCCAGCATTAAGGAATAATTCCTTCTAGATTAAACACAGCTCTTGTTTGGTCTGTTGAACACAGTCCGAAAGAGGATCAAACTATTACCAGGTACCTTATCTGAGTTCCAGAACAAAGTTCAATAGTATTTATAAAAATACTAAAATATTCAGTACCCGAAACACTAAAAAAGAAAAAAAACACACACACAATATCTGTCATCCAATCAAATCTTACCAGGCATACAATAAAGAAAAGAAACAGAAAACGCAATGAGGAGAAAAGTCAGTCTGTGGAAACTGACTGGGAACATAGACAGAAGCATCTTAAAACAGTTATAACCACTTGCTATATTTTCAAAAAGGTATGTAAATAAACGGAAAATATAAAGAGTTGTAAGTGGAACTTTCAAAGATGAAAACTATTGTAGACTATATATATATGTTTTATATATATAAAATCTGGATGAGATTACTGGCGGGTTAGACTCTGAAGATAAAAGAATAGTGAACTAGCCAGGGGCGGTAGCTCACGCCTGTAATCTCAGCACTTTGGGAGGCCGAGGCAGGCTGATCATGAGGTTAGGAGTTTGAGACCAGCCTGGCTAACATGGTGAAACCCAGTCTCTACTAAAAATTACAAAAATTAGCCGGGTGTGGTGGCAGGCACCTGTAATCCCAGCTACTTGGAAGGCTGAGGCAGGAGAATCGCTTAAACCAGGGAGGCAGAGGTTGCAGTGAGCTGAGATCGCTCCAATGCACTCTGGCCTGGGCAACAGAGTGAGACTTTGTCTCAAAAAAGAAAAAAAAAAAAAGTGAACTTGAAGATATATAGCAGTAGAGACATTCAAAATAAAACAGGGAGAGAAAAATAAACTATTTGAAGAATGGAAAATCAATGGTGACCTATATGCAAAAACTTCAAGCCATGGGGCTTATGCAACGTTGGAGTCCCCAGAGAAGGCATAATAATAGGAAAAAACGTTTGAAGATATAATGGCCAAAAGTTTTTCACATTTGATAAAAACGCTAAGCCCACATGGATCCTGGCCTCTCTTTGGAGAAATGGGATTTGAAGAGTCTCAGAACTGGCTCAAGGGCTGAAACAGAGTAATGAATTGTGATTTTGCATACAGCGGATATAAGTCAGTGACCAAAAAAATGAAGAACTGACACATGCCACGACATGGCTGCCCTTTGAAATGTGTTCACTGAAAGCGTCAGACACAAAATGGCACATATTGTGTGATTCTGTTTATGTGTAACACCCGCAAGAGGTAAACCCATACAGACAGGAAGCAAGCTAGTAGCTGCCAGGAACTGAGCAGAGGGGCCAGAAATAGAGACTGACTGCTTCATGGATACGGGGCTCCCTTTCTTAGTGAAGAAAATATCTTGAAATCAGATACGTGTATGTCCTCAGCACCAGCAAATGTCTACTTTACAATGTATAATGGTCCATGGTGTGTTACGGGAATTTAGCTCAATTGAGAAAGACAGGAAAAAGAGAAATGGTTCCCTGTAAATTCCTCACTCCAGAAGAAGCTGCACTGCGGTTCACGATGTGTTTGTGTGAGGTATGATTCCCACCAGGTTAGGAGTCCCACCGAAGTCCCACAGTGCCCAGGCCTTGGCCCAGTGACGATATGTACAAATAGTGATGTGGCTTCAGAGAATGGCATCTGGGATGAGCACCGGGATTCCTGTGTTCTATAAGCCTTTGCAGTCCCATGCCATTCCTCTCAGAGTGGAACACCGCTTCTCATTGACCTCTCCAGCAAGGACAGAGGATCTGGGGAGGGGCTTCCAATTCTACCCCAAGGCTCACGGCTTAATCCGGTCATTGCAACTCCACCAGATTGAAACCCTGATGAAAAGCTTGAAAGGAGGCCGGGTGCAGTGGCTCACACCTGTAATCCCAGCACTTTGGGAGACCGAGGCGGGTGGATCACGAGGTCAAGAGATTGAGACCGTCCTGGTCAAGATGGTGAAACCCCATCTCTAATAAAAATACAAAAAAAAAAAAAAATTAGCCAGGTGTGGTGGTGTGTGCCTGCAGTCCCAGCTACTTGGGAGGCTGAGGCAAGAGTCCCAGCTACTTGGGAGGCTTGAACCTGGGAGGTGGAGAGCGCAGTGAGTCGAGATCACGCCACTGCACTCCAGCCTGGCCACAGA